AACAGTTGTTATTCCCCAGCGCCCTACTTTGCTTTGGGGCAGAAGAACTGATATGGCAGCTGACGCGGTTCTCGACTTGTTTCTCCTATTCTCGGCTCTCTACTTGTTTCTCCTTCTCTTTCTTTCATGGTCCCAATAGGGCCCTTTAGGCTTCCAAGAGGGCTCCAAGAGTCGCCCAAGGGGCCCCAAGAAAATCCCAAGAGGCTCCCAAAGACTCCCAAGCGGTCTCAAAGAGGTTCTCAAGAGGCCTCAAGATCCTCTCCCCCCCAAGACGCAGCCAAGACGCTTCAAGAGGCTCCCAGGACCGCCAAAGAGACGCACAAGACGCCCGAAGAGGTCACCAAGAAGCGACAAAGAGGGGCCCCAGAGGGCCCAAAAAGGCGAGTTTGACAGTCCCAAAGGGGGCTAAAATTCCACCAGTTCTTGAAGGCGTGAGTGGTTTTGATACCCCCCACTTCCAAACCCCCTCTTCCTGTTCGGTGCCCCCTCCCCCTGGACCTGGACGGGGCCTTTCGCGAGCGGTCAGAGCGTCCAAGATGGCCATCGATGGCTCCAAGAAGGCCCTAATTAACGAGCTAAAGATGGCCTCCAATATCGCTGAATCGGAGGATGGGGGGGGAGATCGCAGTAAAACGGAGACCTCCCACCGGGAAATCGGTTTCGGTTTCGTGTCGTGCGTGCGGGCGAAGCGAACCTGCGCGTGATCCTCCTGTAGCTAGGCCGAAGTAGGGGCGAAAGTCCGTTCCAGTCCGCCGGTGGCTGGGAGGTGTCCCAGTTGGGACGGTGTCCTGGGTGTCCCGGGTGTCAGTAGGAGCGAAAGTCCGTTTCCCGTCCGCCGGTGGCCGGGAGGTGTCCCAGTTGGGCCGGGCGGTGTCCCGGGTGTCCCGGGCGTCCTGGCGCTAACGCATGTCGCGAATTGCAAAATTCATGTTTTTCTGCGCCTGGCGGCGGGCTTTATTATCCAATCCAGCTTATCTTATCCAATCCATCTGGTCCAATCCAGTCCATCTTATCATATCCAACCCATATTGTCCCATCTTATCTTATCCCGCCAAATCCAACCCACCCAACCCAATCCATCAATTCAGTTGTTTCTGCGCCTGCGGCGGGCCAATCCAATCCATCTTATCTTATCCAATCCATTTCTTCCTATCCAACCCACGTTATCTTATACAATCCATATTATCCCATCCAATCCAACACACCCAACCCAATCCATCTTATCCCATCCTACCCAATCCGCGCGTGACCGGCTGGACGTCAGTTAGGGTGGGCATTTGATCTCGATCCCCCCCCGACCTCCTTATCGCCCGCAAGGCGGTCGTATAGGTAGAACCCAAGATGGCCGAATATAGCTCGCAACAGACCTCCAAGAGGCTTCGAGATCCTTCCGAAACGGCTTTAACAAGCCAGAAACCCTTCAAAGAAGGCCCTGGAGAGGCCAACAGCCGTGCAAAACAGAATAGAAATCAATGTTGTTTGCCTTCTCGCCTTTTCGCCTTCGTTGGGCTTCTGAAGCCTCGAGACGGCTCCGGGACGGACCCTGAGATCCCGAAGAGGGGCCCAAGAGAGGCCCAAGACGGCCCCAAGAGCGCCCAAGAGCGCCCCAAGAGAGCTCCAACAGGCGATTGTGAAGGTTCCAACGCCGCCTTCTTCATTCATCCATGGCCTCCAGGATGACCCAAGAAAAGGCCGAAGAGGGGCCCCAGATGGCTCCGCGACAGCTTCAAGAGCGCCCCAAGAGACCTCCAAAAGGCCGAAATCCTTCAAAACCTTAATTCGCGGGCCCAACGGGCCAGAGGCGTGCTGAAATCTCCGGCAACTGGTAAACGATATTTCTAATTCGCGCGCGCGGGCCGGCCCTTGGAAGCCCCCCGGACGATAAATGCCCGGGCAAGGTCCCCGGCAAAATCTGCCCAAGGATGCCGGAACTTCCTGGAACAGTTTTCTGGGCCCCCAGAGCGCTCCATGACGGCCTCAAGAGGCGCCTGAGATGGTCCACGAGGGCTCAGAGTCGCCGACCGATCGGTCCAAGACGCCCAAGAGAGACGGCTGCAGACGCCTCCAAGACGCCGAAGGAGGCCGGTCTCCAAGAGGAGTTCTCAAGAGGGCCCCAGGTGGGACAATGCATCGATTTCCTTCTTGAAGGATTTTGTCGTTCTCACCCGCTCGGCTTCCCGACGCTGAAAGATGGCCAAAGAGGCCTTGAACATCTTTCCAAGACAGCCGAAGAGGCCTCCACGAGGGCTCCAAGACGGTCCAAAAGGGCCTCAAGACAGCTCAAGAGGCCTCCACGACGGCCCAAGATGGACCCAGGACGGCCCCAAGAGGCGGCCCAGACGGGAAACGCCCGAACGGACATTTCAAATAAGCATTCGTTTAACCCCCGGCGCCCCCGGCGGATCCCGCCACAGGGCCCGTCGCCGCAAAATGCGGCCCGCCCAGGTCTGCGCGACCTGTTCCTGCGCCAGCTTCTCCTCGCAGCCGCCCCATAGTGCTTAGCCGCCTTGCGCTGGCAGGACGGGCTCTTGAGGCAGCTGCTTGCCTGCCTGCGGGTGCTTCCCGCCAGGATGCGGTCCCGATTCTTCCTCTTGGCGTCGTCCTTGGATGACTTGCCCCTCTTCTCCAGCGGCCCTGGACAAGCCGCCCCGAGCCCCGCTCCCCTGGTCGCTGGGCGGGCTCCGCACGTCGCGCGAGCCACACGCGGCCCGCGCGCCTCAACTCGATGTTCTCGCTCCGCGGGTAGTGCCTTACCTTCACCTCTCTCCCCATCCTGAGCTCCAGCCGCTGCTGCCGCCGCCGCCGCCGTGGCCGCGCGCGCCTCGAGCGACCCTGAGGCCCCCGCCCTTCGCATTCCCGTCGGCCTCCACGGCGGCGGCCGGCACGCAGACCCCCGCAGCTCCTCGCGCGCGCTAGGGCGCCGCTCTCCTGCCGCGCCTTTCGCACGCGAGCCACTTGCTGATCGTCGCAGCTTCATGCTTGGTCAGCGCCAACTTCGGCTTGACTGGCCCCCTTCGCGGCCCCCCTGGTTCTCGCTTGGGGACTTCAGGCCACTCGGCCCCATCTTCTGGCACCACCATCCGACGTTCTGCACCGCCCAGCGCGCCTTCGCGCCCTGCTCGCCCAGCGCCTGGCGCTCCCCTTAGCTCGCGCCCATCGCCGCACCCTCCATCGCCAGCAGGTCCACGGTGCCATTGCCCGTCGCAGTCTTGAGCTCGTCGCCCTGCAACTGTGCAACTTGTGCCTCGGACCTGCGCGCCTTTACGTGGTGCACTGCGCTCGCGCCCAGGTCCATGCCCTTCACCGCGTGCCAGATCCTCCGCCGCGGGTCTGCGCGCGGCCTCCCCCAGCTTGCACGCCACCTTTCGCCTCGCCGTAGGCCATCGATGATGCCCTCGTGGCCCGCGTAGATCCTGCGCGGCGGGAGCGCATTCTCGAGCACCACTAGGAACGTCCACATCGCCGCTCGCTCGACCTTCCTCTGCACTGGTAACGCGCAGGGCAGCGGAACCCACAGCTGCAACTCCGGCTTACCTTCGTCTGCAAGTGGCATGGCCAGCCATCCCGTCTGCGCCCACTCGCCGTGGCCGAGCTTTGACCCGTCGTGCACAATGTCGCCCGCGAACAGGTCGTCATCACCCTCGAGCACCACCCCATTGTACTGGTCCTCCTTAATGACTACGAGACTCCAGTCCGCCTCGGGGCTCCTGGCTAGCCCTCGCGCCCAGAGAAGGCTGCCCCCCCGCTGCTTCGCCGCGCGCTGCCGCTCCGCCTGCGCCTCGAGCTCCGGCCCCCTCAGGGCATCGCATGTAAACGGCTTGTGATGCGGCGAGCCGGCTGCCTGCCCACAGCCCCGACATATGTCCGTCGGCACAATGTTGCATTCGCAAGGCTTGCTCATTGTGCTTCGCCGCGTCCGTGGCGTGCGCGGGGGAAACCTCGCCTTCGGCTGCGAGATTGCTGGGGCTACATACGGGGCTGGCTCGAGACTGCATTGATCGTCAGCCGCGGCCCACTCCTCCCACGGCTTGCTCTGCGCAGCCTTGCGCAACGTGGCCGCGACGTCCATGGGGCATGAACCCCTCGGGCCCAAGTCGGAGTCGCCCTCCGTTCGCATCGTGTACCAGGCAGGCCACTTCCAGCCAGCCCTCTTCATCGACACAATGACTGCGCCAGCTGGCCCCCGAACTCGCGCCGAAGAAGTGCGCGCGCCCACCTCTTGCCGTTGTCGCCCCCACGCCTCTATCGGCATGTCTGCCGCGTCGCCCCGACTGGCCCCATGTCCCGACCGTCCGGCTCGCGGCGACTGCGAACCTGAGTCTGGCCCTGGATTTGCTTCTGACCGCCCAGCGCGCGGCGACTGCGAACCTGGGCCATGCACAGGATTCGCACCAGATCGTCGAACACGCGGCGACTGTGAACCTGGGACTGGCCCGGGATGAGATACAACCCGCCCGGCCAGCGGTGACTCTGAACCTGGGCTTAGCCCAGGGCGTTGCCCTTCCCCTTCCTGCCGCTGCCCTGGTCTACCTCTAGCGTGCCACGCCTCTCTTGCCCATCTTGCTATCGGCGCCTCGGTCACCTCGAACGGCGTCTTCTTGCGCTGCCGCCAGCTGCAGCGTGAATCTCTCGGCGCCTCTCCCCCCATGTAGCGCTCGCCCTGCTTCGCGCCGTAACTGCCGTAGCCGCTGGTCTGACATGCCCAGGCACTTGCGCCCGCGCAGCGCCGAGCGCTTCAGCCCGCACTTGCACGCGAAGGTCGTGCCTCTCGCCACCTTGAGCCCGCCTCCCTGGAGACTGGCCAGCCGCTCGTTCCTCGCCAGCATGCCATTTAACCTCTCCTTGCTCTTCGACTTGGCCGATGTTCCATTCGCGACGAGGTCCGCCCCCCAAGTGCTGACAAGCTCGCACCACTGGTAGACCTCGCCGTTGCTTATCCTTGAACACCGCCATGCGCAGCCACTTGGCGCTGGCCATGACAGCCCCTTTGCCTGCGCTCTCTAAGAAGAATCCGGGCCCCGCTTGTCGAAGCCCTCGAAGCAGGCGTCCAGCGTCTCGCCGAACTCCTGCACTACGCGCTGCCGCTGCTGCCTCGGCCGCACACGCGCAGGTCGCCCACGCGCATCCTCCACTTTACGATAGGCCTCTCCACCGCCAGCCCGTCCACCGTCGACTGGATGGCCATCTTGAGGTATCCGGGCGAGAACTTGCCCCCCGCGATGACAGCGGCCGCGCCGCGCGTCTCCTCCGACATCGGCTCGCCCACTATATGCCTCCTCGCCATAACGAAATAAGGGCGCGCCACTGCCAAGACCTTCGCACTGAACTTGAGCTGCTTGCCCGCCTCTCGCAGCGCGAAAAGGCCCACGCGCTCGAACGCCTTGACCACGCCCACGGTGGCAGCGGTCGTTGCCTCCGCTCACTCGCCCCCCACGTCCGGGTTGTCCACCCCATGGCTCAGCAACGCGACCCATGCTGCATCTTCCGACGCCGCCCCGAAGCTCGCGCAGTCCCAGGATCTCCGGTTCTCCTCGGCACACTTAACCAGCTGCGTTTCTCGCATGACCCCCCAGATCCAGATTGCAGTTGGCAGCAGTCCTATAACCCAGTACGCGGTGAATGTCTTCGGTATCACGAAGACAAGGTCGCGCCCATGTGCGCGGGCCAAATGGGCGTCTTCTCCGCCTCGCGCAAGATGCCAGGCAACGTCGCGCGCGCACCGTCGGACACTCCCTGCAGTGGCGACGGGCGCCCCCCATATACTCCGACGTCCGTCTTCTTCCTGAATGCCCCGGCCACTCTTTTCAATTTGGCCACGCCCTCCTCCGTGGAGTCGCCCAGCTGTTCTCTGGCTTCGACCCCCCGCGGCTTGATCTGCTGCTGCATGGGGTCACCTGTTCGCCGTGCCCCCCTCCGCTCCGACAGCGCGAACTCAGCGGCTTCCAGTGAGCATGCCGACACGTCCATCGCGCCCGCTCTCCCCGGCCCCCAAACCTGGGCTGGTCTGCTGAGCCTGCGCGAGCCCCCCGTCGCGCCAGCAGCTGCCGCATCCAAATTATCTGCCCACTTCGCGCGCCGCTCCTTTAGCGGCTGCCGGTCGCACTCCTTGGACTCGGCCGCCGCCCCCTCGTAGAGACCCTGCAGCTCGCCCTTTTCAGCGCTGCCCCTCCGGCGCCCTGCAGCCAGCAACTCGCGTCTTGCTTGCCGCGCTCCTTGCTCCTCTGTGGTAAGGTGCTGCGTTCGCTGCCCCCTGGCCCTGAACAGTCTCTCCTGCTCCTTCGCCTCGCGCGAGCGCATGTCCCGCTGCTCCGTCGCAGCGCGCAACCGCCGGCGCGCGCCCTGCAGGTTGCGCAAGGAGCGCGAGATCCTCCGCCACCAGAAAGCCCGCCTCGTTGCCGTAGGCAAATTGTCGCCTCCAAAGCTGAGCGGCTTGATCCTCCACGCGGGCTCTTCTGCTCTTCCCGCCTGAGGGTCGTTCTCCGCCCACCGCATGCCTCTGATCGCGAAGGCCTCCTTCTCCAGCTTGAGCGTGTACATGGCCCACTCCTGGTTTGCCGCCGCCTGCGAACGGAAGCTGATCACCTGCCCGTGCGTCGACGGCGCGGGGGCGCAACCAGTCTGCATATCTGGCAATGGCTCCGGCTTCTCCAACACCCTGACCTTGCGCTCTACGATCTTCAGCTTGATCGTTCGCCCCACTGGCTCGCGCGGAGTCGACGACCACTTCTCCTGCACTCTAATGCCTGCTACTTGCGCCTTGACCGATTCAGCACGATGAAATAATCGATCTCGCTGCCGCCACGGGCGTGCCTGCACGTTCCACACGCTGCCTGCGGTGTCATCACGCACGCACGCTTGGGTGGCCGCCAAGAGCTGCCTCTCCAGCTCCGACCCGACGTCGTTTCCGATTCGCCACGCACTGCAGGAAGGTCTTGCGCCCCTCCTTCGACTTGCCGAGCGACTCGTTGGCCGCGCAGAACTACTTCTTGGTCGCCTTTTTTGAACAGCGTCTCCAAGTCCTGCTTCCTCTGAGCCAGCCCATTTTGGTCGTCGTCCAGCGCGGACGCCACGTCCTCCGGTTCGACCAACGCACGAAGAAACACCCGCGCCTTTGGGGCGCCGGCGCCCTCAGGTGGAGAGGAGGTGTTGCCAGACACCTGACGATGAGCTTGCGCCGCCAGCTCGCGGCATTCCGTGTCAGCCTCCTGCATCTCGTCCACCAGGCGCTGCACCCTGGACTCTTGCTCACACACGTCAGCGCGCCAGCGTTCGAGAGTTTGTGAAGCTCGCGATTGGCTTTCTTCCTTCTCCATGTTCCTGATGCGGCTGGCCGCCTGCTGCGTCCGCACCTGGAAGTAGGCGAACGGCTTGGCTGGTCCCGAGCCATCGCCTTTTTTGGCCAGGTCGTAGTGGTGGTAGCGCCACTTGTTGCCCTGTGAATCTGAACAGTGGACACGGGGGGGGGGGGGGCAAGCTCCTCTGCCGACAGACCGTCCACGGGGAAAACAGAACGCTGGGTTGCCGCCCGCGCGATTACCCTGCCCTCCGCCGCTGCTGTTGTGGCCACGGTCAGGAAGAGGCAACATATTCCCGTCATCAGAAGTGCCCCAACCTCTGCCATCTACTGCCGTGTCAGACGGGACGACCTGCAAGCGATTCTGACAATGCTTGCAGTGAATCCAATGGCTGCGGTCCTTGGCACAGCTGCGTGTCGGACAACGCCACATTCTCCTCGGAAGTGTAAACAGGGCGGCTTCGCTTTCCACCACGGGGCGTCGGGAAACGCCATGACTGTACGGAAGGAATGATGCCAGAACGGCCCTGTGGCACACCACGCCGCTGTTAAGTCCGTTCCACAAAGATCGGCCCGCCCTTGCCAGAATTAGAACGGCTCTTGAGCCAAAAGAAGTTGAGCCAAAATGGCTACGACCTGGATGATCACCATGAAGCTGAAGCTGAAGCTGACGCTGCAGATGATGATGTATGATTGTGATCGTGACCGTGAGTTTGATAATGTTTGTGATTGTGATTGAGATTGTGATTGTGATTGCGACGATGAAGATGGTGATGATGCTAGTGATGATGATGGGGCTGGGAATGAGGATGGTGATCGTGATGGTGATGGCGATGATTACGGTGATCATGATGCTGATGGAGACGAGGGAAGCCCCCCCCCCGCCCCCGCAAAATCGACTCAATCGTCTCTGACGTTACCCGTTCGACCGTTACCGAAAGCCAGTAGTTCACTCAGAATCGCACGGGCACCGTCTGCGGCACCCTGGGCCCAGAAGAGGACGGGAACTTCGACACAGCCAGTCAAAAAGCATCTGATGCAAGCATGTGCAAGCATATGCAAGGCCGTTCTCGCATCATCTCATGCCCTGGCCCTATCCCCAGCTCCCCCTTTCACATATGTTCCTGCCTGTCCTCCGTGGACGCGGAGAGGCCCTCAGCGAGGTGCTTCCAACAGGCTCGGAAGTCCTCGGGGAGGATGCCCACAAATATCATTAAGATGGGGATTGGAGGGAGAGAGAAACAAAGAGCGCGAGCGAGAGAGAGAAAGAGAAAGACAGAGATCGAGAGAGAGAGAGAGAAACAAAAAGACAACAAGAGAGGGAGAGAGAGAGAGAGAGAGAGCGAGAGACAGGGGAAGAAAGAGAGAGAGAGAGAGAGAGAAAAAAAAAAAAAAAAAATACTGTGCGAGAGAAAGAGAGAGAGAGAGAGAGCTCTTTTTTTTTGCTCTGGGCAGGCCGGCAGAGAATCCGAAGGCCGCGCGCCCAGCGCGCGGCGCCCCGGCCCGCACGGAAGAGCCCGCGGAGTGTTCGGCCGGAGGGGGGTGAAGGCAAAAAGGAGAGGAAGGCGGAGGTGAGGGAAGATTTGGTGAAGACGGGGGGAAGGGCCAGACCCTACGAACGGGATACGACCTGCAGCCTCTCAGCGCCGGGGCGTCCGCGCCCGGTTTCCGCCGTACCTGATGTTGTTGCGGATCACGCAGCCGGACACCTCGATCCCCAGATTCCGGATGGTCATGATGGCGCTCTGCATGGCGGTCGAGTTGGGCCCCATGAGCTGCACGAACAACCTCGGGATGCCGAGCTTGCCCGCCGTGTAGACCGCGGCCTCGATCGCGAAGTTGGTGTTCGGGAGCGTCGCGCCGTACCGCTTCTCCGTGGTGTGCCAGATGATTTTTTCTCCTCTCTGGGCGAGGCACACGTGAGTGTTGTTGTAACTCTTGTGGATGATCATGTGCACGTCCGAGCCCTGCCCCACGGGGGTGAGCCGCCGGATGGTGGCATCGCGGGCGCTCGTCTTCCCCTTCTGAATGGCGGCCCACAAGCCGACCCGAGATTGCCTGAACCGCTGCAGCAGCAGCCCGAGCCCCAGCCCTGCGCCCAGCACGCCGAAGGCGGATCCGCTCGGGCGGCCCTGCGCGGCGCGGTCCTCGGCCCTGCCGGAGCTCGCCCGGGAGGCCTGCTCCACCACCCCCAGCGCCTTCCGCTGGGCGATGCCGGCAGGGTCGCCGCGGGGCGGGGCGACGAAGGCCGCCGCAGGAGCTGCCAGGGAGAGGCCGAGCGCGAGGGCGAAGCGGGCCATGGCTGCGGCGCGCCTCGGCGGCGCCCGACGGCGGCGCGCCGAGGAGCGGGGGGGGTCCCACGCAGCGCGACCAGAGTGGCGCGGCGCGGCACTTGAGCCAAAATGGCTACGGACAGAGAGAGAGAGAGAGAAACAAAAAAAAAAAAAGAGAAAGAGGGACAGAGAGAGCGAGAGAGATAGGCAGGGAAATCATGAGAGAACGCACGGGGATAATGAAAGAGACAAAGAGATATGTATATATATAGGTAAATGAAGAAAGGCAGAGAAATAATGCGAAAGAGAAGCAGAGAGAGAGAGAGGGAGATACAGGCTGACTGACTAGGAGACGAGCCCGCAAGATATATACAGAGAGAGAGAGAGAAGAGAGAAACAGACAGACCGACAGACATCTGGACAGAGAGGAAGAGAGAGAGAGAGAAAGAGAGAGAGAGAGAGACAGAGAGCTAGAGAGAGAGGCAAAGGGATAATGACAGAAAGCATGGGAAGATAAAGAAAGACAGAGAGAGAAGACAGAGAGAGAGAGAGTCACATACAGGCCGGCTGACGGGGATGCGAGTCGACGAGAGAGAGAGAGAGAGAGAGAGCGAGAGAAAGAAAGAAAGACACGATGGACAGAGAGGAAGGACAGAGAGAGAAAGCGCCATAGAGAGAGAGAGAGATACTGAGAGATAACGACAGGAAGGGACAGGGAAAGACAGAGAGATACGGGAGGAACGAGCTGGGGGGACAAGTTCAGGGCCGTTTTCCACGGCGTCCCCGTAATCGACTTCTGTGAGATTTGGGGCTTTGTTGTGACGTCAGGCCCAAGCTCGCCATCCACAGTGTGTCGACTCCGTCGGAGTCTCGGCGGTGGCGCGTGCTCGGCTGCATTGGCCCGACTCCACCATCGCGGAGGGAGTCAACGTCACCGCGGGTGACCTCGTTCACCTAGTCGAGCACGAGGCCTTGCTGGAGCCAAGAGCGCCGCGTCTCGACGATGGCAGAACATGGGCAGGCCAGCGCCTGCCGACCTTCGCGCGCGCAGTGCCTCGCATGCTGCCTGGGCACGACCCGATTGACATCGATGGGGTAGGACGGCATTGCGTGCGCTGGGCGGAGTTTAGGCATAGGTCCCCACCGTGCCAGCATCTGCCGCATCACCGCCAGAGATAGCACATACAATAAAGAGAACTAAATAAAGAGAGAGAGAGAGAGAAAAAAGAGAGAGAGAGAGAGAGAAAGAAAGAAAGCGAGACAGAGAGAGACACAGTCAGAGAGAAAGAGAGAGAGAGAGAGAGCCAGAAGAGAAACCACATGAGAGACAGAGACACCGATACATGTATATGTATACAGAGAGAGAGAGAGAGAGAGAAAGAGAGAGAGAGAGAGACAAAGAGAGAGAGACAGAGAGATCAACAACAAAAAGGAGAGGGAGAAAGAAAGAAAGAGAGAGGTAGAGAGAGGGACAGATCGGCCGACCCCCGCGCTTGGGGTGCAAAGTTGTGCGAGATGATTGGCTGTCCCCCTTCCCCTTTCCCCCTCCTCTGGATTCTGACATCCGACTAGACGGGGGGGGAGGGGGGGGGCAGCGGGGGCGGGGGTCTCCGAGCTCATCACCGCTCCCCTGGGGCCTCTGGAGCATCCGTTTCTGCACTCGGCGGCCGCCAAAATGCCGACGGGTCAATCAACGGCTGCTCAAGCAGGTTTCTGACAAGCACAGGAATCCTCGAAGCGACCAAGATAGCCCCAAGACTGCCCAAGAGGCCTCGGCGGCGCTTCAAGAGGGCCACAGACGACCCCCGAGAGGGCCCCAAGAAGCAAGAGTCGCCCGAACCCTACAAGAAAACAAATAATTTGAAACTAGTCGCACTGTTGGTCTCAACAGCCCCCAAGATTGCTCAAGAGGCCCCCATGATCGCTCCATAAGAGCCCAATAAGCCTCCAAGAGGGCCCCAAACCGGCCGAAGAGGGTCCCAGGACGGCCCTAGAGGCGCCCAAGATGGCCCAAGAGAGCCACCACAGGGTTCCAGGAGAGGCCAAAGAGAGTTAATCCGATCCTTCCGCCGCAAGAGGACCCCCCAGACCGCCAGCAGGCGCCCAAGAAACTCCCAAGAGGCCCGAAGAGGCCCCCAAGAGGCCAAAACAGAGCCCTTCAGAGGGCCCCCATGAGACTCCAAACGGCGACACCCGTTGACTTCATCCCTCTTCAGGGCGCCGGCGGAACGGCGCACGCCTCCTGAATAAAGAGAAAAAGGCAGACAGAAAGACACGCAGACAGAGTGACAAAGAGACAGACAGACAGACAGACAGACAGACAGACAGACAGAGACAGACAGACAGGCCGGCAGAGAGACGGATGGCTAGGCAGAAGGAGAAAGAGAGAGAGAGAGAGAAAAAAAATATATAGAGAGAGAACAACAAAACAAATATGAGAGAGGTAGACTGACGCAAGGGCGAACCGACGAGAGAGCGAGAGAGGGCGCGGGAAACACACCTCCTCGGTGGAGCGAGGGGGACGCCTTCCACGAAGGCAGTAGTGGCGCGTCCTCAGAAACCCCTGCGCCTTCCAAGGAAGCCCTCCTCCGATCTCTTTTGAAAGGCCCCCCGGCCTTGCTCAGAGGCCCCCCGCCTCGCCCACGCCCTCTCGCGGCCGCCGCCAACCTGCTCGAGGCCTCCAGAAGTCTCCAGACGTTCCCCTGAAGGCCTCCAGAAGTACCAAGAGGCCTCCAGAAGACCAAATTGGGCCGACGACGACCAACAACATCGGTCCTCGACATGTACCTGCAGATTCGTCACTCCCTCCCTCCCTCCTGCTCCTCCTCTTCCTCCCCCATCTCCTCGAGGGGGGGAGGGGCAGGACGAGGATGAGAAGAAGGATGAGGATGATGAGGACCAGTGCAGCTCTTCGGCGCATCAGCGATGATGCAACCCTGACCCTCCCTCCAAGCTCCATTTTCACAAGCCCCCACAATTTACCTTCATTGCGGGAGAAACGACGGCCCGACAACCCCCAATCGCCAAAACACCGCTCCTGGGACTTCAACACCGAAAATCAACGTGTTTGTTGCCTCCTGACACCCCAAACTCGTACCAAGACGCTTTTCCTGGGACTTCATCCATACAACCCCGCGAAACTTCTGAAACAGTTTGAAACGAATGTGCGCGGCGCTGTACCGAGAGCCACAGCTTGAGAAGGAACCGCGCTCAATCCCACCAGCCCTTTAAGGCGTAGGTGGTTTAGGGTGTGGCCTTTTCCGCCCCTTTTTTCTCCTTCAGGGAAGGGCTTACCCCTCCCCCCATACCCCCCCCCCGGACCTGGACGGGGCGTTCCGCGGGTCGCTGGAGCGTCCAAAACGGCCTTGGCGAAGAAACCACAATCATTCGTTTTACTATGGTTTGGGCCCCATGTTGACCCCTTGGGGGGGCGACGCAAATTGAGGGCCTCCCCTTCTATGATCGATCTCCTCCGAGATCGCCCCACGAGCGCTCCCAAGGCTCCCACGGGTGCCCCAAGAGGTGGCCAGGAGGCCCCAAAAGGCCCCCATGAGGCCCCCAGGATGCCCCCAAGAGGCTCCCAAGAGACCCCTAAGAGGCTCCAAGAGGCCCCCCAAGAGGCCCCCCAGACGCTCCAAGAGGCCTCGGCGAGAATGTCCAAATCGCTGATTTTACCCAGGTTTTGGCGACATGCTGGCCTCCTGGGAAGGGGGGTGGGGGGCGCTGCTCAAGATGATTCCAGGAGCGCATGGGAGAGCTCCAGACAAGATGGCTCGAGATATCCCAAGATGCCGTAAGATGGCTACCACGATGCTCCAAGAGGCCCCAACACCGTTCCAAGACGGCTCCAAGCTGCCAAAGAGCTCCCCCAAGAGGCCCCGAAGAGGCCCGAATCCTTCCAAACCCATAGGAACATCAGTGCTTTTGGCTTTCTCGCTTCTTCGCTGCCGATGGCCATCCGAAGCCTCAAGATGGCTCCAAAATGGCCCAAGAGGGTTCCAGGAGCGCTACCAAGGCTCCCAAGAGCGTTGCAAGAAGGCGCTAGAGGGCCCCAAGAAGCTTTCCGGGACACCCAAGACGCTCGAAGAGGCGCCCGGGACCGCCAAGAGGGTCCCCAAGACGCTCCAAGAGTCCTCCGCTGGGGGACCCTTCCTCTGCGTGCTGCCCACTTCCCTGATCGAGGCAATTCCTCTGGGCATCGTTTCTGGATGGGCTGGTGGGTTTTGCTTTCTTATTTGATCGCAAGCGAAGCGGAATAGCCGCGCGCCGTCAGAAAGCCGCACAACAGCATGCCGCGATCTAAATTAAGCCGCGCGCGCACAGACGGACTGCGCAGACGCTCGGCGGGCGAGGTGGACCAAAAAGAGCACCAGGTCCGCGTGCAGCGCCAAAGTGGCGACGAGCGACAGGCCGGCGTACTCGATGACCACCGCCGCGTAGCCGAGGAGGACGTAGGCGTCGTGCAGGCGCTCCACGGAGAAATCCGGATCGCCGAGAGGTACACATGGCCCGGAGGCCACGTGCGCGAGGACGGCAGCCAGCCGCGCGGGGGGGGGACGCTACAGCGGAAGCCGCGGCGGCGGAGCAGAGACGACGTCTGGCGACGCTCCGACAACGAGGCGGCGAAACGTCGAAATACCACACCCAACATTTAAGCGTCGACGCCAAACCATTGGGGTGGGTCGCCCTGACCAGCGCGGGGGAGGACAGAGCGTCCGTCGACCCCGAACGGGCGGGGGCAGCGACCACGGGCAGGTAGCAGGCTCGAGCGCCTGGGGGCACCCCGAATGGAGTGAGCTGGCGGGCCGTCCTCAGAGCGACCAGAATGGCCAACCGAGAGGACGGGGGTCAGACGTCGAGGGGCCGAGGGAACCCAGAGGCCACACGCGCCAAAGCGGTGCCGCCGGCGCCGGCTGCGACGACCCATGGAGTCGTCGAAGTCTGGTGGGGTTACTTTTTGGTCAGCGGGCGGACGCGTAAAGCAGTCGCCGAGAGGGGGGTCCGGGGTACGGGCCAGCTTAATTAAC